CAATAATAATAAAAACTTCGTCTGAGAAATTATGACGGCTCTGGACACAGACTTTTGTAACACACTTTATGACTAATACAACAGCAGCACAGGCAGTTTTGCTGTACATAAACTATGTAAAATGCCAGTATGTTCAGAATTCCACCCATGATGCTAATATTGTTCTTTTTTGGTACACACCTGGAACAAGAACAGCAGACTCTTTGGACCGGATCAACAAAATCCCAAGACACACTGTTGTTGGGGGCTTCTTCCTCCAAAACTGTAGCAGTAATCTGATTCCTCCTGAAAGGGAGGGGTACACAGTTATGTCAACTTCCTTCATGCATGAGTGTATATGCTAACAAGAAAAAATAAAAGTAGACACCAACGAATTATTTTTAATCCAAATAGTGTTTGTTTCAATTAACTTGAGTGTTTTTTTCCTGACTTAGACCATGAGTAAAGTGTAAAAAATATTTTAAAAACTTGCTAAAAGATTTTCTAGGAGCCAAAGAGTAGGGGAAAATAAACAATTTCCTGATCTCTGCAGCAACCCAGTCACCCAGTCAGATTCATGAAGCATCAGTTGCTAGGCAGTGGCTGTTGTTCAGAGTTGCCCAAGAGGGCATGGATGTTCAAGGGATAATGGACAGGGACAGAGGATATTCTGTAACTAATTTGTTTCATCATTTAAAATAATTTGCCTTTAGATATAACAAGTTCAGAGGAAGAAGGCAAGATGGAGGATTAAAACACCATAAGACACTACAACTCTAAAACGCTGGATCCCTTCCAGTCCGGCTTCCTTCCTGGTCACGGGACGGAGACAGCACTGGTCGCCCCCACAGATGACCTCCGGAGGCATCTGGATCCGGGCAGGATGGCGGTGCTGCTGTCGTTAGACCTGTTGGCGGCGTTCGACATGGTCGACCATCAGCTGCTTACCCACCACCTCGCCAATGAGGGGATTCGGGGGCTGGCCTTGCAATGGCTTTGCCAGAGGCATGGGCTTGGGTGTCATCAATATGCAGATGACACCCAGCTCTATCTGTTGTTGGGCGGTCAGTCTGCCTCTACCCCGGAAGATCTGGACCAGGTGTTGCAGGACATGGCAGTGTGGCGTAGGTTGAGTCGACTGAAATTGAATTTGAATACTAATGAAAATACAAGTGAAGTAAACGCTAAATGTGAAGTAACTGGTTGCTGTTAAGAATCTGCACGGGCATCCAATTAGATCTGGACCAGGTGTTGCAGGACATGGCAGTGTGGCGTAGGTTGAGTCGACTGAAATTGAATCCAACGAAGACAGAGGTGCTTTGCCTGAACCGGAGTGGTTCGGGGTTAGGGGTCCTTCTCTTGGCCTTCGGTGGGGCACTGCTGCTGCTAGCGCCGAGGGTCAGGAGCTTGGGAGTGCTCCTGGATGCTTCCTTGACAATGGAGGCCCAGGTAGCAGCCACTGCCAAGGCAGCCTTTTACCACCTTCGGCTGATTAGGCAGTTGGTCCCCTTCCTCGAACACAATGATCTGGCTTCAGTAATCCATGCTATGGTCACCTTGAGGCTAGACTACTGTAATGCTCCTTACACGGGGCTGCCCTTGGGGCAACTCTGGAAGCTGCAGCTGGTGCAGAATGCGGCAGCCCGGCTGCTGATGGGCCTCCCCAGGTGGGAGCACATCCAGCCTGTGCTGAAGTCGTTGCACTGGCTTCCAATAGCGTTCCAGATTCTCTTCAAGGTGCTGGTTTTGACTTTTAAAGCTCTAAATGGTCAGGGGCCTGCCTACCCGAGGGACCGCCTTTCCCCATACATTCCCCCGGGAGCACTGTGGTCTGGAACACAAAACCGCCTCCCCCCCCCGGGCCCAGGGACGCCAGGCTGGCGGTAACTAGGACCAGGGTGTTCTCCCTGGTGGCGCCAACGCTGTGGAACGAGCTCCCCAACGAGATTAGCGCTCTACGGGACCTCCAGCAGTTCCATAGAGCGGTAAAAATGGAGCTGTTTCGCCAAGCATTCCCATAAAAACTGATTGCTCCGGTGGGGCCGCACTAGCACTTTCTTACAGGATGCCGCTGTATTTATTTATTTAGCCTAACTGTATGTACTGAAATTGTATGAATTGTATTTTATTTTGTATTTGCTAGTTTTAAACTGTTTGTTGGTTTTAAATTGTTTGAGCTGCGGTGGCCCAAGTGGTTAAGACGCTAAACTGCAGGCTGTGGAAGGTCGGTAGTTCAGCAGTTCGAGACCCGGGTGCCGCATGATGGAGTGAGCTCCCGTCTCTAGTTCCAGCTCCTGCCAACCTAGCAGTTCGAAAGCAAGAAATTGCAAGTAGATAAATAGGTACCACTTCAGTGAGAAGGTAACAGCATTCCATGCGCCTTGGTGTTTAGTCATGCCGGCCACATGACCACGGAAACGTCTTCGGACAGCGCTGGAGCTTCGGCTTTGAAACGGAGATGAGCACCGCAACCCTAGAGTCGGATTCGACTGGCTTTCGAGCAAGGGAACCTTTACCTGAGCCGCTCTGAGCCGCTTCAGTGGGAGGGCGGGGTAGAAATTTAATAAATAAAAATAAAAAAATAAAATAAAAGTATGACAGGAATAAATTTATTTTGCTGCTTGCTGATGCAAAGAAACTGCTATTGATAAACGATAAAATTTAGCAAGAGCCGGTTGCTTTCTTGAATAAAGGATACTAAACAGACAAAGCATATGATACAGCGACAAGTGCTGCCCAGCAAGAGCTACTCCCACCTAACCCCTGCTGCCATATGTCAACCAAGGTCAACTTGCACAGGCTTAACTGGGAGTTGATTTTAACTTTGTTAATGAAACAGCTGCTAACCTTCATAGTGACAAAAACTGTCAGTGCTTCTGAGGCTACAAGGAATCCCCATGTTCAGAGACAGTGTGCCACTGAATACAGATTGCAGAAGGGAAACTGCATGAGATGGCTATTGCCTTCTTACTTTGCTTGTGGGTTTCCAAGGATAAGATTGGACAGTGTGGCAAACAGGGTGACTGATTAAGCAGACCTTTGGTTTGATCCAGCGAGGCTCTTACAGTATTTCACACTGAATACTAATGAAAATGCAAGTGAAATAAACGCTAAATGTGAAGTTAAGAATCTGTTAAGAATCTGTTAAGAATCTGCACGGGCATCCAATTCTAATAGAGGAAGCTGCTGGTCTCTTACTTGGATGGTGGCCGGTTGAGGATGCATTCCTTCCAAACTCTGTGGACCATGCGATTCTGGAATTTTGGAGGAATCTTCCCTGATTTCTTTGGACTCTGCACAGAGACCACCCCATCTGGTGCTCCAGGATGACTGACTATGCTTGGAATGCCTCCACTTTCCCCTGCAAGACAAATGGCAACACTGTAGAAAACTGCCAAAGAGGCAAGAGTTATTTTCCTGAAAATGTGCTCTTTAGACACCTGATAACCTCACATGAACACTTATGCCTTCTGAAACACTTTCATACACCTAGCATTGGTCGCTTGTAGCCAACACAGTATAATCCATCCACTTTGCAGACACTGAAATAATTGTGAGAAGAACTATGCTACTGGTAATATTACAGAAATCAAAAATGCATATTTGGGGGAGTGGTATCTAATGAAAATGACATACAAGCACACCACAATGCAATACTTCTTTACACCTAGGATTTAGCCAACACAGTATAATCCATCCACTTTGCAGACACTGAAAGAATTGTGAGAAGAACTATGCATAACCTTTGCTACAGAAATCAAAAATGCATATTTGGGGGAGTGGTATCTAATGAAAATGACATACAAGCACACCACAGTGCAATACTTCTTTACACCTAGGATTTTTCTTCTTCTTCCTGAACTGCAGTACTGAAGAGGAAGTTCAGTCGGGAAGTACTTTAAGCCTAATATCCACTATCAGAATATGTTCCAATGCAATGTGCAAGCCATTTCTAAACATTGTTGTAGAGTTGCCAGAGAGCTACGAAAGCATTCTTTGGATGTTCTCCACAACCATGCAAGAATGAGAGCACATTTACTCATTCAGTGGCAGCAAACTGTCATAAGCACCATGAGCAACAGCTCCTGTCCTCTCTGTTATGAGGACATGCTTTAACTGATTGCAAATCCAACTTGGACAGCAGAGGGAGCTTTTAGTGTTCTTAGTCTTCTAGATGCCTGCTACATGCTCTGTGCTTGAGCTGGAAAAAGAGGTAATAGTACAAATCCTCAAACAAGGTCAAAGATGTTTACAGAACTCCTTGTCCTTATGTCTGGCATGGGCAGGGAAAAAAACCCTTATGAATAAAACACTGAAAGCAACCAAAGCAACACTAGCGTGATTTGGGGGGGGGGGTGTTGATCAACTTGTTGATAGCTGTGTCTTCTGCAACTATAGGAAGGCTTATAGGCATTTATTTTTGCTACAGTTTCTGTGATTTTAATTGCTTGCCAACCAGACTCTGAAGCAGCATCCTGCCTTTACCAGTAGCTTACTACACTTGGCCAGCACAAAACTCCCTTCAAAACCCTGCAGCTCCAATCAAGAATAAACATTTCTGATATTTAAATAATGGCTGACATGCTGCCTAAGCTATAGTGCAGCTGCAATAACCTTACCGTGATGCTTTTGCAAAGTAAGAAAAGTATTTCAAGCCCCTGGGTTCCGGCATCACAATATTAGATATTACCCCACAGGATGGGGTAGAAATACAAAATCACATTTCTGTGATTTTCCTAGCGCTGATCTTTTGTGATATTGTCACAGCATCCTCAGCATTCAACTACCCAGGCTTTGGTCCTACCAGTGCCACCCGCTCCTTGTAATGGATTTCTATTGTTCTAGAATGTACCAAATTGTGCATTTGAAATAAGCAGCTAAATGATGAAAAAGCGTCTAGAGAAATTTCAGTGGAACAATCCTTAGTTTAACAAAACCCATCTTACCCACAGCTGTCAGAATGACGTTTAATAAAACACAGATGGCTTCAACAATAATTCACTAGTGTCCAAATTTTAAGGTTTCAATTACTGCTGGAGCACTTCGCTGAATTATGAGCAACCAAAAATCATGGACATGGGAGCATGTACAAATACACTGCAGAGCATTAAAAGTGGACTGTAGAAAGTATAAATCTGTTCTGAGTGTGCACAGTCTCTAGTTTTTCATACCAGTTTGGGCAAAACAAAGAAGTCTTAATTAATGGCATTGCAAGTGGGGAGAATAAAGACAAAAAGGAAAGCTATCTTGCAAGGGGGGGGTGCTTAGCTTCAAAGCAAAACCACCAATGAATTACAAGTTTTAAAAACAAATCTTCACATTTGTTTAATTTACATGCTTCAGGTTTGTTTTGTTTAGTGCCATTATTTACTACACTGCACTGCACTCCTGTACCACCATTTACAGGGTAAAGGGAACTGTGAGAAGTCAGTTTTAGCAAGTCAGCTACCTACTTTGACAGTTCCCCTCTTTTCAATAGTTCTTTCAGAGTTGCTGTTATCCAAATCACTACTGATAAGAATCAGATATGCACAAAACCTGTTAATTTTATATCACATACAGAAAATAATGTATTCAAATTCTCATAACTGTAAATGTTGAATACACTGATGGAGCAAATTGAAGATTTCTTTCTAAAGGCACATTTGAGCCACATTCTTTGAAACAAAGAAACACAGCCAGAGCAGTCCTCTAAAATATGGCACTGGCGCCATAGTAAGGGAATCTCTTTAGCATTTCAGAATTCTCTGGAATTCAGAAGAACGTTGCTAACTGATGAAAGCTTTTCCTAACTTCCAATGTTACAGGATGATGCGTTTGTCTGGACACTGCACTACACATTGCTATGCAAATTCCACTCCCCTCCCCCAAATTTCACTGCTAAAATACTATGAAATAACATTTTTAAAAACACATAAAAAGCAAATGAAAAAGAACAAACCAATCACTGAACTAACAACAGCAACAAAAGTTGAGTTACTTACTGTTCCCAGATAATCCTTTGATTATCTCCAATTGTTTTCTGCATGTCATTTATGTTTCATGTTTCCTTAATATACATATATTAATTGCCCATATTTTTCATTGTTCAATCCTCCTCATATAGTTGTAGTACTCTTTCAGATAGAAGAGTAATGAATACTATTCATTTATTGCACCCCAAAACAGCATAAACTAACTACGGTGGGTCTCAACAACATTAGGACTGGATTATCTCCCTGGAAACTAGCAGACTTACCAAAAATCCAGTATCTCTAACAATATTAAAGGAAATATTCTAATTTAGAATGCACTGTAAAGGTCCACTGATTTAAAAGCAATACACCAGTTTACACCAGCCAAAAAATCCCCAGCACGTTAGACTGAAGTTTCACTACACATGAAAGCAACATTTTTAATTGCTCTGACTGAACCTCCTGCTTTCTGAGACATGGAACTCATATTTTATAAATTAATTCATAAACTGGCCACATCACTGCATATCAAGAGTTTACAGCTATTTTATCCTGGGATGACCATATGTAATAATCACACACCATTGTGTTAGAACATGGGTCATCACCAAATTCATAGAAAACCGGGGGGTGGGGGTGGGTGGTAACTAAACCCTTTCCCTTCCTTCTCTTGCCATTTTTGGCTTCCAATCCCTTCTTCAAGCTTGGACCATACTCTCTGTCATTCAAACAATCCAATGGCCATAAAGGAAGAGTCAATTAAGTAACATACAAAGCATTATTAGCCAGAGGCAAGTAACTAGCTGTTCACAGAAGGTGGGTCTAAGAAGCCCTTTATGAGACAGGTGGTCTCCTGCTTACCTATTACAGTCTGCTCCGGTGAAGTGGGTGGTGTGAGTAACATTCCACAACTGCTGGGATCTTTCGTGTTCCCCACTCCCTGTTGTGCCACACTGCTATGGCCTCCTGGTGTAGAAGTGCTCTGAGACACAGGAATGTCATTATGAGAGACAAGAACAAAAGTGGAAGGATACACCATTCGTACACCACCTGTTAAGCAAGGGGAAACGAAAGCACAACAGTAAGTTTGGCATTTAAAAATTCATTTAGCTACAAAGCAATATCACTTCTGCTTACAATATACCAGTTTTAACACTATATTTAACATAGAAAAGATACTGCTCAATATCTGAAGTATCATTTTTAATAACTGATAGAAAGCACAAATAAATAACTTGAGATTATGATAACGTGTGATACAAAGGAAACAACAAATCTCAAAGTGAGATCACCCCAATAAAGCTGTTGTTGTTGATTAATTAGGTCTGGGCATTTTAATTTTAACTGGAGTGGGAAGTTCTTCAAGCAAAATATTGACTCTCACCAACTATGACTTCGACTGCCACAGGAAAATCGTCATCGTATCCAAGTTCTTCTTCCTCTTTCAAGCTTTCTTTCTTCTTCAGCACCATTGGGTAAAAATAGTGCCACTCCTCAATTAGCTTACGAGTTGCTGGATCAGACATCTTGTACGCTTGGCCCGTCAAAGTACCGCTTAAACCATAAGGGCTTATCAGCACTGATAAAACAAAGCAGACTGTTCAGTATGAAGGTTCTAAAAGTCCCTCAGCTGTCATTCCAACTTCTTCCTCATTAAGTCAAAATTCTGTTCTAATAAACAGATTCTTCCCTATTCATAGGTCACTGGAAGATGTACGGAATATTTCACAGTACATTTTCCCCAACTCAGAATATGAATCAAGAAATGTGTTTTTATTCTAGAAAATTGTTTAATACTGTCACAATTCAATTTAAAGTTGATTCCTCAACCAATGAACTCCACAAGGCCTCCAAGGTACTCTGGGCAGCTTGATGCCTAGGCTTAAGTAATGCAGACAGACTCAGAAATGTGATAGCAAATATTAAGCAGTGCAAATTAATTATGTAGAATCAATCTGCCAGCCCACCCAAATATCATCTCTTAAATCTAGTCCAATGCTTTTTCGATAGCAGAGCTGTGGGTTTCAAGTCTGAGGAATAACTCTGGAGTACAAAAACTACAAAGTAAGGGTGATGTGCCCTCCAGCTAAAGCTTGGCACCTAGTGTTGCACATGACTGACATGCAAATTATACTGAATGTATGTTAACTGGAAACGTCTCTCATTTCTTGCTTTGTCCACTTCCACAACAATTGCACTTTTACCACCTTTAATCGTCTTGAAGCATTTCCCCTCCTTTCTCTTGGAATTCCATTTCAGTTAACATCTACAAAGCCTCCTCAGCTTTGAGATTCATATTTATTGGGGTTAAGTAATTGCTTTGCTGTCAATTGTTCTGGTGCTGCCTCTCAAAATAACAATGTTCAAATCCCAACACTGCGCGGGGCTGCTAGTCCCGTATTATTTTACAAGAGAGGTTTATCCATCTGGTCTGCGAGGAATATTTAGCTACCATGAGAGAATTATCTTCCAAGACTGACAAGCTAAATATTGAGTAACTAGCAGAGGTAGAGACTGATGCTCTGGAAAGCCAGAGAATGAGTAGGCTTTGCCTATTGTGGACAGGTCTGCTCTATGCCCAATGAGGCTTATTCCCATTTCAACAAATTTATTGGGCTGGAAAGGGCCACTATATCTTTATTTTTTTCCCCAAGTTTTTAAAAGCAGGAATGCTCCAGAAAACACCACATTGGAAGTGCACACACTTACCTTGGAATGGTGTAGGGGAGGACTGAGCCATGTGGAGATATTCCTCACTGACACGATAGATTGGCTGGTGCTGGGCAATCTCCACACTTGTACACACATTGCTTTCCCCATGAAGGAAGAATGTGAAGGCGCAGGATAAATGTTCACTGAAGGAAAAAGAAGATAAAAACTTGTTTATTATAGTTTCAGTGCTTCAGATGGGAGTGTTGGGATCCTACAGGTTTTGAAGCAACAGGATAAGTAAGCATAAATAAATCCAGTAAATCTCTGTACTTTCATCTTTTTTTTTTACTAAAAGTCTCACTTAAGTGGAATTTGCAAACATCCCCACCTGCATGTGCACAAAATGGTAAAAATGCATCAGTCCTTTTCTCTGCTTAACTAGACAAGTCACGGAAAACCACTTTATGAAAAACCAGAGAGCTGATTAAGGGAAGAATCACACATGTTCACCATTACACACTATTACAAATTCAGAGATCAGGTGTGATAAAGCTATTGCATACCAGCAGTCCTGCCACAATAAGCCAGTTGTCTGAGGCAAAACTCCATTTTTGTCATCTCGTATAATCAGAGTACCTAATTCCCTTTACAGGAAAAGTTAAGACAGTTGCCAAATAAGGAACATGCATGTTGTCCCATTAGGTCAACTGTTCCCACTATTATCTGGGATACATAATACCCCACTTTTCTTCCCAAAGGGACTCAAAGTGCCTTATAACATCATTCTCACCTCTCCATTTTATCCATTTTATTCTGGGTACACAGAGGGAACTCAGGTTTTCCTCAAAATAATTATTACAAATAAATATACGATCATGTCAATTTTCTATCAATATCAGTAGATTTTAAAATAAAACAGCCCCATCCAGGCAGGCACCTATGAAGCTAGTGTGTATCCTGAGGATGATGTCACCATCATGTACAAGGGCACTGCACCCTGACCTGATCAATACTGGGGGGGGGGGGGGGGGAGAGAGACATCTAGTGCAATCCTAAAAATGTATACTCAGAAGTAAGTACCATTAAGCTCAATGGAGCTTACTCTCTAGTAAGTGTGCTTAGAATTGCAGCCTAAGATTTCCTGGCAATTTCCAAGATGGGAAAGAAGAGCATTAAAAACCTTGGGAAGGTGAACACCTTTAGTTCATCAGACAGGACTAGGTCAGTTTTCTCAGCATTACCATTCAGCAGGGAAGCAGAGCATTTTGGATTGGACCCTGTATTCTTTTCTATCTTCCTCCTCTGTCCCCAGATATTTGAGAACCAGGGAAAACAGGGTTGCCCTTAACTAACTGTTGTTCATTGAGGATCTTCTGTGTAAGCACACACGGGGACTGTACATGAGCAGGCCTGCCACTGGAGAGGTCTTTCTAGCCAAAAGCCTCTGGGGGCGCTGCACACCAGAGCAGAGGACTTTGATCTCTCCCAGAGACATGTGCTCCCGCACCACAGCGCCCCAACCCTTAGTACCTCTTATGCTGCTGAAGAAAGCATGCAGTGACGAAGGAGGGAGCATATCTGTGCCTGCACAGAAGATACTCGATGAACAACAGTTAAAGGCAAGTGCAACCCTCTTTTCATCATCAATCTACTATGCAGTCCCACATGGGGATTGTATGAAGCTGAAAACAAAGGTGACAGGGCATGCGCATCTTACTTAAACAATGACTGAAGTACCGCCTTCCCCAGCTATGCTTCTCATCTTGCTTGCAAAATCTAAAGCGTAATGCTCTACAAAGGCATCAGTAGATGTCCAGGTGGCAGCCCAACAAATCTCCATCACAGGAACACCATCCCAAAAGGCAGCAGATGTCACATGGGGCCTCAGCTACACTATAACACTGCCTAATGGTAGACACAATCCATCGTGACAGCATTTGGGAAGAAGCTCGCATCCCCCTATTTGGTATGGCAAAGCTCACATGTAGTGCTTTGTCCCTATGGAACTCTAAGGTCCTTTTCAGGTAGAATAACAAGGCATATCTAACGTCTAGGGGAATGCAGATATCTTTCACTCTCTGAACTTGGAATGGGGAAGAATACTGGCAGAATAATTTCGTGAGTTAGGTGAAAACTTCACATCTTTGAACAAAAAAATTAGACTAGAGCGAAGAACCACTCTCTCGAGAATTTTTTTTAGGAATAGAGGATTGATCAGGAGAGCTGCCAGCTCACTCACCCTTTTAGCCAAGGTAACAGCTACAAGGAAACAAACCTTCATAGCAAGCAAAGCCAATGAGCATGTGGCTAAGCTCACATGATGTGAGCTAACACGAGAAACAAGGATCACTGAGGAATTAAGGGGTCCCTGAGATGGTAAATATTATATCAACCTTTCTTGAACCTCCTGGATAAATTTTGAGAAAATACTAGTTCCCCGTCAATTTTCAAATGATAACAAGAAATGGCAGCCAGGTGAGCTTTCAATGATGAAAACACCAAACCTTTATTCCTTAAAAACAGTAGTAAGCAGGGGTCAGTTGAAGCCGGAGCGCACAGAAGCGGTGCTCCAGGAGTGAGGAGCCTGGGGGCGGGCACATGACCAAGCCTTGCCCCCACCTCCAAGCTAAGCGCCGGCTTGGCGGGGCACACAGGCAAGCCATGGAAAGGAAGGGGGTTTAAACCCCCTCCCCTTCCATCTAATGAGCCGGCTTTCCTGTGCTCCCCACAGGCACGTGGGCCGCGGGCAAGCCATGGAAGGGAAGTAGGTTTAAATCCCCTCCCCCTTCCATCTAAAGCCCTGGCTTGCCCGCGCCTCCCGCAGCCACAAGGGGCGCAAGCAAGCCATGGAAAGGAAGGGATTTAAATCTCCTCCCCTTCCATCTAAAGAGCCGGCCCGCCCGCGCCCCATGCAGCCACGCAAGACGCGGGCAAGCCATGGAAGGGAAGGGAGTTCAAATCCCTTCCCCTTCCATCTAAGATGCCAGCTTGCTCACGCCCCATGCAGCCGCGCAGGGCGCGAGCAAGCCATGGAAGGGAAGGGGGTTTAAATCCCCTCCCCTTCCATCTAAGAAGCCAGCATGCCCGCGCCCCAAGCAGTAGCACAGGACGCGGGCAAGCCATGGAACGGAACAGGGTTTGAATCCCCTCCCATCTAAGGTGCCGGCTTGCCCGCACCCTACGCAGCTGCGCAGGACGCGGGCAAACAATGGAGGGGAAGGGGGTTTAAATCCCCTCCCCTTCCATCTAAAGAGCCGGCTTCCTCGTGCCCCATGCAGTAAGGGGAGTTAAATCCTCTCCCCTTCCATCTAGTGCTGGTATGCCTGCGCCCCACGCAGCCATGCAGGGCGCGAGCAAGCAACGGAAGGGGGGGGGTTAAACTGCCTTCCCTTCCATCTGATGCCAGGGGGTGTGGCATATGCAAATAAGTTATGCTAATGAGCGCCTGCACCTCTTTTTCTACGAAATGACCCCTGGTAGTAAGTATTCAAAAGTGCTCTGCAATGGAGCTGTATATGGAGACACACATTTCTCACTGCACAAGAGAACAGGTATTTCTTCACCCAAAGAGTGATTAACACATGGAATTCACAGCCATGGGGGGTGGGGGTGGCTACAAGCATGGATGGCTTCAAGAGGAAATTAGATAAAAACAAGAAAGGGGACCCGCGATACTCGTGCGCGGGGGGG